ACAAGAATCTCGAGATACAGTTGCAACAACAATTAGAAACTTCCAAGTAGGAAAAAAAATAACAAATATATTCCCTGTTATTAAATCTTACAAATCCTTCTTAAAATAAGACAAATCTTATGCTAAATACAAAACGAAAAAATAATAAATGGGGATAGTAAAGATAACTTAATCCTTGTATACTTAAATAAAAGGCACAGTAGCCAAGAAATAATAACCAAAAAATGTTCAAGTACCACCGTCAAATCGATCTTGTCCGTCGGATTTAGTTGATATGATGTCAGCGACTTATTATGGTTAAAATTGTCAAATTACGAATTTAAACCATCCAAATAATTTACAATCCGTAATGTACTAAACTATTACAAATCCTTCTTAAAATAAGACAAATGTTATGCTAAATACAAAAAAAAGGGGGATAGTAAAGATAACTTAATTTATTTTGAAGACGAGAAGAGTACAAGGTTAATTACCAGCAATTTGAAAACTTCTTTCTTTATTTGTCCGCCTTATCTATTTAGTTCAGTCCTTACAAATTTGGCAAAACACGTTTTTAGTCCCATCATACACCCCCCAAAAAAAAAGAAAAAACAAATAATTATTCTTTGCAAAATTAACGATAGACTAATTGAAATTCTTTAAAAAGTTAAATTCCACACAAATTCAATTAAAATCTTCCTCTTCTCCGCTGAGCTCCCCACTAGCTTTGGAGGCTATGGCCGTTAAAATTAAATGTTAGCGATCGGGAAAAAATTAATGTAGTTGAATAATAGAGATTTAAAATCCACTATAAATTGGTTACATTTTTTTCTTTCTTATCTATGTGTTTATGATGGCTCGTATTCACGTTAGCTTGTGATTCAGAAACTATTAGAACAAAGGGAAATCAACCTGTCAATCTGGGGGCGGAATGTACTAGTTTTCATTATTCGTATATCATTTTAATTTATTAATATGACGCATTTTTTGGACCTTGCTAGACATGAACCCACAAACTGACTTTCAGAGATTATCGGCACTTTCAAGTTTGGTCTTCTTATGTACTAGTACGCGGCCTTCGATTCATTGTTTGTCAAGTGACAATAAGTAATGCAGAAAAATACAATCTATATATACACTAGTATTCCCTCGATTTCAAAATATAGGTCACTTTAAATTTTACACGTAAATTAAGAAAATAATTATTTAGTAATTAATTTGTGTATCAAATATCTAATTTACCCATCATTAATTGTTTTCGACTTATAATCAAAACTAGAAGAAAAGTAGTTAGCATAATTTACTGAGGGCATAATTGAGAAGTTAACTAATAATTTTACTTGAAATCCTAAAACGACATATATTTTGAAATATTTCTCAAAACTTAAAACGATTTAAATTTTGAAATGGAGGGAGTATAAAATTGCCAGACAAATTACTGGTGTTTTGGTGATCAATTGATTTTGGGTCAAAAAAAGACGCACATACATTTGCGAGATTCACCTCCGTTTTAATTGGAGAGTTTATTTGGAAAAATATAAAAAAAAAAAAAAAAAAAGAAACAACAAACAGAAGTGCAAGAGAGAAAAATCAACAACAACCACCAGGGCGGTGTGGTGTCGAATTGTTATAAAAACTGAAGAAACTACGCAATGAGTTTCTGGGTTTGAATTGGACGAATTAGGGACATTGTAGAGTTGACATTCATTTTGCTACTAATTCTTAGTGTTTACGTACGGGTGAAGAGTTTTTCATGTTTGTTAGAATGATTAACGATCCTTAATGTGGTCCTGATGGATTATTTTAGGAGTTGTTAGAACAAGGTGAAGTCACAGCATGGAAATGAATTGGGTGAATATTAATCAAATCAGTGTTTGGTGAAGAAGTGCAAGCGAGTAAAGGAAATAGTTCCTTCTTTTAGTACGAAAAAGATTTAGGCTCTCTTTGGTTCCTTTTTTAGATGATTTTTTTCAGAATTTTTTATTAATATCTATCCCATCCCAGCATACTTTTTTACATTCCTAATGTATTTTTTTACATTTTCAATACATTTTTTTACATTGCCAATAAAAAAAACATACTCAAAAAACCTTCCAAACATAGCTTTACTTAGCTAGTTCGAAGTTCGAACCACATTTAATTACTGTATTTTTTATTTTTTATTTTTTAAAATAATATGTTCATCCTTGTTAACGAAGGAAGTTTTGAGGATGAATAACAAATCGTAGAATAACGAGAAGTTTGAGTAGACATACCTGGGAATTATTTTTGCTAAGTAAAATAGTAAGAATTTCCCGAAATTTCTTTGCTATACGTGTTTTTGTTGGTAAAAGACTACATCCTTGTATTGAATATTTCCCTCTCTTACAAAAATAAATTTAAAAATTTCAAAGTTGTAACTTATAAGATGTACTTCAATCGGCTAAAAGTTCACCACGGAAAGCCATAATGCAGATCAAGACAACTTCAATACAGGCTTTATCCTAATTCCAAGCAGAAGCCATGGCCTGTCTAATAGCGCTCGTCGAGACCTCACAACTTGGGCTCAATCGGGTAAAAGTTGACACGGATTGTGAACTGTTATCTACTGACCTACGGGCTACACCTGTACCAACAGAAGCACAAGAAATTATTGCGTTATTATTAGTCTTGATTTCATCTTTTGAGTCCTGTCAAAATAATTAAAGTTAGTAGATCTGATGTTAGCGATTTACATAATATGACTTATAATTCATATTGATGTAATAGCATAAGTACTTTTAACTAATATTAAGTACCATCTTCAGAAAAAAAAATTATAAGATTTTATCATTTGATAATTACTATGAAATTGATAAATAGTTGTATTCAAGTTTTTATTTCAAATTTTTTTTTGGAGAAATTAAATCATCATTAAATTAATAAATTTTATTTTTTAAAATTATTTTTTTTTTCGTTCCCGTAACAAAAGTAGTAATTAAATCTGATAACTTTTTCTTTCTTTCTTTTTTTTTTTTTTTCAAAAAATAGAGAATTCTTTTTGGCAGTGGGATAGCGGAGCCTGAAGCCACGCATTTGTCCAAGTGTTTACACTAACGCCTTCGACTCTCCATCGTCAACATGGTTGGTATATACTCAATTTATTTTTGGGACGTATATTAATGTCTTTTTCTACGGAGTTCAATTTTTCTTTTTTCCTTCTTTTTTTTTTTTTTTTGAAAGAATTGATTGTTTGTTTTACATCTACATTTTTGTTTTCCTCAGTTTATCTTTAATTTTGGATGTTATAAATTGAGTTACTCCAAAAGGACAAACTTGATTAAGACCGATAAGAGTTTTGTTTAATTATCGTCAAATTAATTCGTCCCATCTAGCAACATGCTGATCACTATCATTTCATGTGTTATTTTAGTTCATTGAATGTATTTTGTCTGTGAGAAATAATAAATACCTACCTTGTTCGTACATACGTATTCACATGGCTAAACATATGTGTTCATATTTTCGATTTCGTTGTCCTTGAGTTTCGACTACAATTGGTTAATTAATTCTAAGATCAACTTAGAAAATATGGTCTATATGCATACCTTAGACCTAGACTTCGTCTTGATTCTTAGACGGTGAAATTGAGAGACCAAAGTTAAGTATGATTTTTTCTCTCCGTTGTACTTATAAGGTGAAAGTTCAATTTCAATATAGTTAAAAAATTTATATTTTGTAAATAAAATAAGACAGTGAATTTTCACATAGTCGTCCAATTTTTCGTGGCATGTGTCATGTGTGTCTGTCAATATTATGCCTATCCATAATTTAGCCACATAAGCCACTTTGGCTGTTCTTTTTTGTATTGTAATGTGCTACTATAACAACATTATTATTATTCAGAATTTTTGCACCAAAAAATAACTTATTTAGACTTTTGTTAATAAAGAAAAAAGAAATAAACTATTCTCTTTTCGGTCTTTATTATAAGACATTTTGATTTTGTCTTAAGTTTCACCTAATATTTTTTTTAATTGAAATAGAAACTTTAAAAATATTTTTTAATAATTAAGAGAACGGAAAGAATGTAAAAATATAAATTTAAGATTCTTTTTTCAATTAAAAAACATCTTAAATAAAATTTAAGACAAAATAAAAATGCCTTATAATAATAAGAGCACCAGGGGTTCAGAGTACTATCCTCAAGGTCCGTAACACGTGTAGGAAAATGGATAAGGAAAGAAAGAAAAAGGACATTATGTAACAACTCCATGAATAGGAAAGCTATTGTTATTTGGAATTTTGTGAATTATAAAGCATCCACTATCAGTATAAAATTGATTACAGAAAAGCAACACAAAAATGTATTATAGCCTTATGGGAATAGTAGTATAAGTTATCTTGTAATTTAACAATCCATTAATTAACAAGTAATTTTGTTACATTCCCGCAATATTTATGATTATAATAGTATTCAAGCCATTCGAGAATTGAAAACTCAACTATACCATGAATCCATATCATTCCGTGCATGCGTCTAATTGAGAAAAGAAAAGAAAGTAATGATTTTCATGTTTATCAGATCAGGTGGAACTTTTTTCTTTCTTATATAACCCAAAAAAAAGAAGGAATGTATAATTTGGTAGACTTAATTAGCAAAGCAAACCCACCCAAAATCTATCATTATCAATACTCTCAGAGAGTTGATTAGGAAACAGAAAGCCAGCCCCATTAGTCCAATTGCCAATCATTTTTCAATTTGCTCTAAGATTTTGTCTTAACTCAATCAACAAAGTACTACTTTTACTCATTCCATTAAAACAACAAAATAATTTTTTACCCGGGGAAGGGGGGGTAGGTAAGCTGGCTGAACCCAAATTCCTCACTATAAAACTCCCACCCCATTCCCCCAACTTTACATCACTCCGCAAAGCACAAGTCTTTCCTTTGTTCCCCCTTTTTTCGCTTGCTAAACTTACATACTACATTTTTATCTAGCTACCAACCACCACAACATTTAAAAAACAATACTACACCAAAGAAAGAAAGAAAGAGTCAGCATGCCGTCAGCAACTTCCGGCCAAGTCGTTTGTGTCACCGGCGCCGGTGGTTACATAGCCTCATGGATTGTGAAACTTCTCCTTGAGAGAGGCTACACTGTACGAGGAACTGTTAGAAACCCCGGTAAGTATAAAAGTAATTATATATCAACGTTTCGTCCCAAAATAATTGTTCAGTTTGTACGGAGGGAACATTCACTAGTATCACTCTTTTGTTAGTATTCCTATAATATCGGAGAAATCGAGAATTGAAAAACCAACATCACCACCGGCCGGCCGGACGGCCGTCCATTCACTGCATTTTCACATTTTGAAAATACAGTTTGTTTTTTTTGGCTTGACGCATGCATGTTAGTTTATTTAATATGAACTAAACCAAATTAATTTGGGTTGTAGATGATGCAAAGAATAATCATTTGAGGGAGCTGGAAGGAGCCAAGGAGAGATTGACACTGTGCAAAGCTGATCTTCTTGATTACGAGAGTTTACGTGAAGCAATCAACGGCTGTGATGGCGTTTTCCACACTGCTTCTCCCGTCACCGATGATCCAGTACGTTTCCTTTTTCTTTTTTTTTTTTTAATGTTCTCTAATTAATCTCCCCTTTTTGAAAATTTGTCAAATGAACACCTAATTTAGACAGCTGTGTTGAGTAGTAACCCAGAACCCCATTCTATGTCTTGTCAAATGTTGGTGAGAAAATGAAAGAAAATGATGGAATTGAAATTGACCCTGAAACTAACTGTACCTGCTGTCTGACGACCCATATCTCATCATGATCAAGGAACATAAAATATGACGTCATAATACTCTATAATTACAAGTCACATAAAAGAAAAAACAGAAGATTCTTTACATCAAAAAATCCAAAAGGGAAAAAGTTTGGTAAAGACTTGCATATTCCTACTACCGTTTTGGATTAAATTTTCCCTTTCTTTTCTTTAATTTGTGGCTAACATCTTTATTGCTTTGTTAGTTGTATCTTAGTTGGTGTCGTGTCGTGGAATGACTCGAAATGGGCATCATCCATGCTTAATAAAGTTAAATAGGGTTTAAGCCAGTGGTTCCCCACTCCCACCCACAAACCCACACTATGTGATGATGGAAAAGGAACCCAAGAAAATAATAACACTGTTTTTCAAGTGACACAACAACATGAATCGATTTATAGAAATAATTTTGGTTCATTCATTTATGTTATTGCAAATCTACACAGGTCACGTTGATGACCAAATCATAGCATCATAATTCGAATCGACATTCTTCAAAATGTTAGTATAAACTTGTATAGTGGTGTGTGACAGAATCATTCGAATTCACATTTTTTATGAAACGGTAGATGAACAAACCTTAATCTCATCCATTAGAAAGAAACCAGCTTTATTTGTGGTTGTTTTCATTGATTGGGGCGGTGCTATATATATATAGTAGTATTAGTCTAGAGGGATTTAGTGGATGATTTTCAGGAGAAATTATGACCACTAATGTTTTCTTCTTTTCTTTTTACAAATGGAAATATTGATGACAATGATGATTTTTGATAAAGGAACAAATGGTGGAGCCGGCGGTGATAGGGACGAGGAACGTGATCAATGCAGCCGCCGAAGCCAAAGTAAGGAGGGTGGTGTTCACATCTTCCATTGGTGCCGTTTACATGGACCCTAACCGGGATCCTGAAAAAGTTGTGGATGAATCTTGCTGGAGCGATCTTGATTTCTGCAAGAACACCAAGGTCCCATCCCCACCTTTTTCTCACCTTCCTTTCAGAACAAAAAAATAATTAAAAATAATTCCAAGGAATTTAATTTTATTAGTAGGATGGTCACCTTTTAAATTCTCCATCATTCATTATCACTATAGTAGGTGGCAATCAATTCAGGTGGACTTTCTCTGGATCCGTCCATGATTGATCATCACACGTGGAAGAAAAAACTAGCTTCATTTTATGAGTTATGACATTAGCTCTAGAACTTAATTTGTCAATCAAAATCACTTACGTTTTTTTTTTCAAGTTTAGTAGTGGTCCTAATAATGAGGCCTACAAATTTAAATTAATTTTAGTGTTAATTTGTGTCTTATAATTTCTGGTGTGACGGAATGATGTTATGCAGAATTGGTATTGCTATGGGAAGACTGTGGCGGAACAAGAAGCCGTCAAAGAAGCCGAGCTCAAAGGAGTCGATTTGGTGGTGATCAACCCGGTGTTGGTGTTGGGGCCATTGTTACAACCCACCGTGAATGCTAGTGTACTTCACATCCTCAAGTATTTGACTGGCTCTGCAAAGACTTATGCCAACTCCATTCAAGCTTATGTCCACGTTAAGGATGTTGCATTGGCTCACATTCTCCTCTATGAAACTCCCTCTGCCTCAGGGCGTTACCTCTGCGCTGAGAGCGTGCTTCATCGCGGCGATGTCGTGGAAATCTTGGCCAAGTTCTTCCCCGAGTATCCTATCCCCATGAAGTAAGTCGATTTTAACTTTGCTCCGACATTATTAATTTGACAAACATAGTTGGTTGTTAAGGTTTTACTTTTTGATAAACAAAAGTCTGTTATAACTTGAATATGAAGTTGTTCTGTTTTTGGATAAAAAACATTATGGCAAACTCCAAATACCTTTGATCATTCTAACAAGGAACATAAACATTTCATCTTTTGTCAAAAATAGAATTTTTTTTTTTCCCCAACATTCTGGCCCCAAATTAGTTTGGTTAAATTCTAGGTAAGTAAAATCTCTTCTTGATTAGCCAAAATGCAGATTTTCCAGTGCTTTAGGTGGCCTACTTCGCCACTCAGATTTATCAGTTCCATTTCCACATATTCAAAATTTCACAAATGATGATGGCCATTTGTGCCCACCAAACTTTTCTTTTGAAGAAAAATATAATGGCCGCTTTAATTTCATTTTGGTTTTTTTAAAGGTTAAAGAGAAGAAAAAAACAAAATATCCTACTTATTCCAAATTTCCAATGTCACTAGACCAAAGCTGAAACTGAAGAACGTCTCTATCTTACCTACCATAGACTTGTTTGCTTTTTGCCACTACTGCTAATATTATCCACATTTTGTACCTAACCCAAATTGGTTTCTAATTGGCCATCTTTTTGTTGTTGGCATGGCGTGTTTTCTTCATTCTTGGATCTAGATGATAATCGTAAGAGTAATGATAAATTCAGCGACGACTTCGTCTTACTGAATTTTCATAGTGGTTTATGTAACAGTCTTACAGCCATTCACCATTTATTATCATAATATTATTGACAATGACCTATTCTCCCGTTTGTTAGGACAAAATTTACTCTAAATTTGTTGCCGGGTATAACATTAAAACAACTTAGATAGTATCATGTTTCATTGAAAGAGTTATATATACTAATAACTTAATTCTGATTTTATGGGTGTAACAACAGGTGTTCTGATGAAATAAGGCCAAGAGCAAAACCATACAAGTTTTCGAACCAAAAGCTCAAGGACTTGGGACTTGAATTCACCTCAGTGAAGCAAACCCTTTATGAAACAGTTAAAAGTCTTCAGGAGAAAGGTCATCTTCCACTCCCAGTCACAGCAGAGAGTGATGAGGCAATTAAAATTCAGTCTTAGTTGTCTTATCTTTAATTTTGCTACTATTGAGTTGTGGCACAATTTTGAGCCCTTATCAATTGGTAGCTTTTACCTACAACAGAGGTTAATAGAATGGAATTTCAATGCTAGGAAACTCCTTTTGTCACTGCATCTTTGGGTTAAGGACAAAAGGATGTGTAGGGAGATGCATTTGATATCTCTCTGTGTGTATGATCTTTCAATGTTGTCATCAATCTAAAACTTCTGTAAAACGTGAGCTCATTTTCTTGACCTTATTTGCCTTCTGAAACTGTGTGATACTTGATAGCATTGTGTTACCATGAAAAATTAAGGCGAAAATGAAAAAGCGTACTCCAGCAATGATGGAAAAGGATTTTCTTTTCCAATTTGGTTTTATTCAAATTACAATGGAAAACTATAGTAAATTACTGCACACATTAGAAGAACAACATTAGGCGATTTGCTGCAGAACATATTTATAGACCACTTTTAGAAAGGTTCACATGGATATCCTCTACTTATTATTTCTCATTAGTAAAAGGAAGATTATACATGCTTCAGTCAACATCTGCTGGATTAAACCTCCTCTGAGGCAACTGCATGCTTGCTAACAATGTCCTCCTCAGGCCGGCCAAGAACCGGTAGTTTGCCTGAACCAGCAGTTATCGGCCTACTTCCATTTTCCGTGAGTACCAAAAGATGGTCACCCTTCTTATTCTTCCTCAAGATCAAGTATATAACACCAGCCAAGTAAATTAACATGGCTGCAACTCCAAGGATTCCACAAATAACAGTTCCGGGAACTCCTAAATGTCCATGGCGGAGTGATGCTACCAACTTTTCTGCTAGGTAGAATATATTTATGCCCATTATTAGAGAGCTGATTATCCAACTTATTGTATATGTCTGTTCACAAGGAGAAATATGTTACCACACAGTAGCAATATGGCGTAAGAAAACTCATTGGCGAGAACAAAATACAGTTTCTTACCATTCTCGAGTTTGCATGTTGTCCCATTTTAGTTTTGCTGTTTGTGAACTTGAGTAGCGGTATCAGTGCAAATGGCAGTTCAAAAGACAAGATCATCTGCAATAAAACCAACTCAAGGGAGTCAAATGTTGTTTGGTAAAATATCAAAAGGGTAAATTAGTTAGAAGAAAAGGTGCTGAAAAAATCATGAAAATATGTATACAGATCGAAAACTTATAAAGATGGGACTGTTTACCGAGGAAATAATGATCAGATTTCCAGCACCAGCAGAACCACTTATGATTGATACAATTAGACTAGGGACTATGGCGAGGCATCGAGTTAAGAAGTTACGGATCCAAGTTTTCATTCGCAAGTCAAGAAATCCCTACAGATAAGAAAGAACCAAAACTTGAGGCATTCTTTGTATTTCTTGAGAACTGAAAACACATGGGAAAAGAAGAAACCAAGCCAACCTGCATAACATATTGGCCAGCATATGTTCCGGTTATTGTAGAACTTTGTCCTGATGCAAGCAAAGCAATCGCGAAAACTTTGGAGCTCCAACTCCCTAAAGTATGCTGCAGAGACATGGATGGTATAGATCATATGCAGTTAATCAATAATGCTCAAGGAGTTGTGACAGGCATGATTACTTGTTTGCGAGATTTCTCTGTTGCATTGAAAAGAAAAAAACATACTCTAAGTAAGAATGAGGCTCTGTTCAGATCCAAGTCTGCGCAATTCTTTCGATCTTCTACACTCAAATCTGGTGCATTACAAACTTCACCACTCACTGAAATGACTGACACATTAATAAGGAAGGCCACCGAGAGGGCAAACCAACTTTCTAATAGATAAAATCTGCAAGCCTCCTGAAAGGAAAATTTCGGAAGTTATTCAGCTTCAATAACCATGAAGGCGCAAAATATTATGTCACAGATAGATTGATTTTCAAACTAGTGCATATATGAAAGTATAACAATGCCATTAAGGAACAGCAAAATGCCTTCACTTCTCAGTCTATTAATTCATTATAAACGCATCTAAAAGTATGGAAAATACTGGTTTAACTTGAGTTAGTGTTTCATATCGTACAAAACAGATCAGGGCTTGTATGCTTGTGCTACATAGAGTGGCATGGATCTACTAAGTATGACGTAAAGTCTAGCAGATGTACTTACATTGATACTAGCAACTGATCGTGGGATTTTCCTAGATAAGACCAGAGCAGAATGAAGGAAGAGATTATGTCTGTTCACAGAAAGAAAAAAAAAATCACTATAAAAATACAGAACAAAACTACTCATTCTCATTTGTACATCAGCGAAAACATATCTAAACACTTACGGCATAACCATAGCTCCTAACAATGAAACAGCCAACTTAGTTGCGCCGCTTCCCTTGAGCTGCGGAACAAAGAGGCCATAGAGAACCTCTGAAGCTTTTGGCTTTGCATAGCCAAGCTCGACCAAGTAGCATATAGAAATTGTAAATATCAGCACAGCAATAAAGATTTCAAGTTTCCTCACCTGTAATATAGTGTCAACCTCTTATTAAGAAGAACACTCTCTCTTTACTTTAATCCAAATCTATTTGTTCCAAAAACTTCATATCCAGAAAAAAAAATAAAAAAAAGAAAAGATCCATTAGGGGCAAGAAGTTTTATTTACCCCATAATGCTGCAGGAAAAGTAGAATCAATGTACTGAGTCCTGTGATTAGCACACCACACCACAGTGGAAGTTTGAAGAGCATGTTCAATGCGAATGCAGTTCCTATCACTAACGAGAGAGGCGGGAAGAAAGAGGAAGGTTACAAATGCATTTAAAACAATGAAGCAGATCAAAAAACTGACTGAAAGGATCCCGATCACACAGTTTCTGGACAGTAGAGTATTCAAAATATTACAATGTTTCACAGAAATGAAATGACTAATATCCTGAACAAAGTTGATAAAGCTAGAAGTTTTTGCACAGTCCAAGTAACAATATACAAGAGTACAGATCAATGGTAATTCATTTCAAGAGTACAGATCAATCATCAATGAATTTTAAGGCCCTCTACGGGCTGGCGAGTTCTCTACATGTTTATCTAGAACCTCAATACCAGTCAGTCAATTGCTAATCAAATTAATTATTCAAATAAAGCACTACAATATACAGTTGCGACCAGTTTTAAAAATACACGAGAAAATCACCTCAATATCACCAGCTAAAAGAAAAGGAAAGAGCAAAGTATTACCTTCAGGAATGTCACATGCAACAACTGCAACTTCAGCAAGAATCCATAGGACGAAATTGGTCGCCTTCGGATACTCATTTCTACAGTGCTCAGCCAAATGCTTCCCTACAGAGGCGTAAAAGTAAAGCAAGCGAGATTAGAGTGCAAAATAACTTGAATTATGGTAGATATATAAGAGACCTAAAAGCTTTACAGAACTAGTGTGTACCAGTAACCACACCCAAATTTGCTGCCAGGGATTGAATAACAATAGCTGCAAACGACGCCACTAAGATGATCCACAACAACTGAAAAAATAAATAAATAAATAAAAAATAAGGAATAGCTCTTATAAGAAGCTGAGTAAGTACAAAAAACACGCACCCCAAACTTGAACTGAGCTCCTGATTGCAGATCACTCTGAACTGAAATGAAAACATGAAACCAGGGCCATCAACAACAGCTGTAGAATCTTTGAAGCTTCTAATAAAAATCAGATAGTAAAAGCCTTACAGTTCCCTGGATCAATGTAGGCAATGGAAACAAGAAATCCAGGACCCAAGTAAGAGAAGAAATTCTTCCAGCTTTTCTTCTGCAGATTTTTATATTAGCAAAAAGCCATCAAAAATCAAGGTCGCCATTCCATTAAAGTATCCTATTATATACTACAAGAAAGGCACAAAAGACACAAAGTATTGCTGAATATGCTAAAATTCCATTGACGAGTACGTACATTAACCCGAAACCATAAATTATTACCTGTTCAACGTAACGAATTAAATTAAATCATTAATCACTTCTACAAAGGCGACGGAGTTCACCGGGGGAAAAAAAAAACTAACTTAATAAAAGAGCTTTGGTTGTGAAAGAACAAAAAGTTGATTAAACCCTTTAATTATAATGCAACAATGACGATCACTAGAGAAGCTAACACATGGATATAGTCTTCCAGGATGAGTTTCAACCCAAAATCGACAAACGGAATTTTTTGAAGTGAAGCAGTGAATTAGGCAAGATACACTAAACCGAAGTCGGTGAGGAAAAGGATGATAGTACTGACATCAGATACAACAATTTGATCTTGTTCAATGTCATCAATGAGTGGCTGATGACTGTGATTCCCTTGATTTACAGCAACATTGGTGATCATGAACTGTGGTGAACCATAGCTCTCCCCTGCCATCTCTCGAAAACTCTGTTTCAATGGTTAAAAAAAAAAAGTTTATAAAATCAGCACAACTCTCAAACCTTTGGTTTATAAAGCATGAATCTTTCCAGCATCAAGAAACCCGAAAAACCAAGTCCAAAGCAAATACATGCAGACAATATCTACTGAAGTTTATAACGGAATGAGATTTGAGAAGGAAAATAAACCTGCTAAAAAGGGAATGGATTTTTTTTAGTTCTTGAGAAAAATATGGTTGGAATGGGGAGGTATATATAGTTGCAGACTTGCAGTGGCCCTTTTGGATTTGGAATTAGGAAGCAGGGGAACGTTACTTGAGAGTGATGTCACTGTTCTCTGTTTCAGTGAGTATGAAGTACCCAATGATGAGAAAGAGATCAGAGAATCTGATTTCTTTTTCTTTCTTTCTTTCTGTTTTCATTTGGGGGCGGTCACATTTATAGGCTAATTATGTTTAAGATAAATGGTTAAGCCAATCTTTTAACTGTTGGTAGTGGCAAATCACGCATAGTTTCCTTTTCAGGCCAACTCTTCGATTTATTTATTTATTTTATATTGCAGAGTATCACAATTGACAAAGACAAATCTCCATTCGATTTGATATTCTTTGATTTTGCCTCCTCAAAAAAAAAAAAAAAAACTTTTCGTTGAATTGCACGTGCTAGGATAAATTCCAAATTCTAGCTTGAACAATGCATGAAGCTGAACGTTCTTTTTTTTTTTTTATTAGAGTTATTCCCCGCGTTGCATAGAGTGTATTACATGTATTGTATTATAAATTATGATCACATGTGAATCAAAGGTTATCATTGTAATATGATTATAAAGTTTGTGTCGGATTTTGTGATGTAATAATTTTTGTCTGTGTTCTAATTTGTAAATTACATTCATTGTTTTATATTAATATTCAAGCTAGTGTACATTTTAAAAGATAAAATATTAGTATAACTCATTCATAGTAAGTTTTAGAAGAAACAATCGACAAAACATTTAGTAAACTCAAAATAAAAATTTTAGCGAACTCAAAAGTAAAAAAGAAATTTAAAGATGTATAGTGTTTTATATAATATCTTTTTAGTAAAATTTTTTTGTTAGATTCCCCTGAAAATACTACATTTTATACATATTTGATGGTTGTTTTTATCCAGTAAAATAAATTTTATGATTTTTTTAAACTTTCACTGTAGTGAACTCTGCTTAAAAATGTATGAATAATCATTCTTAGCAATCAATAAAAAAATAAAAATAATTAGCAATAAAAAAAATTAGATTTTTCATTATTAGTTAGGTAGATAATCAAATATATATGGAATTTATAAAAATGGGTGAAAGACATTGGTGAAAAATAAATTGAAATAACTAATTTACAAAAATATTTAATGTTTTAATGAAAGAGAGCCTCTGACGTTTGATATGTGTCATAAAAAGACTAAGTATGACAATGGCAAAGAAAACTCTCAACTATATCTAATTAAGTGACACGTGTCGATTGAAAACTCTTCTTTAATGTGTGATATAAATTACGTATTCGGTGTCAGAAATCTTTGTTTCGCTTAATCCGGATTGAATGAACTACACTGCTTCCAGTTGGGACTCCAAACGAACAAAATTACAAAAATAAACGTTAAACTAACATACATACAGAAGAACTGGTCTCTTTCGTCGTAATAATATATCAATTAATATATCAAAGTACGAACGTTAACTTGAATGCATGGGATAATTCTAGCCCAATCACCTAATTACTTTCAGCAATTAACCATGTTTCTGAATGAAATAAATCCGTGAATAGTCAACCAAGTTGAGCTTGCTTTCGTCTCCATAAATGTAAAACAATTGCAAATGGGAGTATGACCAAAAAAAAAAAAAAATCCAGCTCGATCGGCAAAATCGAAAGTTTGATCATATTACGAGGAAACAAACAACCTCTTTTTTTTTTTTCACTTTTTAGTACGTGTTTGTATTTGAATTTACTTCCCTTTTTTTTCTTTCTTTGTTTTTTTCCCCTTGAATTAGGTTTTGTGTACTGCAATCTTGTCAATTAAATGTTTTTTTTTTTTGAAGGCAAGATTTTGTGAAGGAAATTAGAACAAGTTAGGTCGGTGGGTTTCCTTCCATGTTTCTCGCCAATTATTTTCCTTCCTTGATTTCCGTCTTATTCCTATTAAGAAATATTAAAAAGGAAAATGATATATTTAGTGAAATAAGATAGTGAAAAAAAATAGTGAATGATGTGGGGAATTCTTGACCCCCTATTTTTTTTGTCACTTTCCCGTTGAAATTTTAATTTACCCTTAAAATTATATTTTTACCCTTAATAAATAAACACAAATATTTGGTGATAATGGTCTATTTGTCTTTTCATGTGTCACTATCCCATTTCACTATAATTTGTCATTGAATCTATTATTGCTCTATTAAAAAACCCAAATCTTAAAAACGAGAAATCTATGTATCTATTTATACTTATTGAAAGCAGGTGCCACAAAAATCACGTGACAACTCTACAAAAGAAATTTTCCTGCCTAAAGTCTAAAAATAATACTACGTAGATTTAGTTTAATAAGAAAAAAGAAACTCATAATTTTAAGCATAATCTTAAAGCTACCAAATAGTAATTTGATTTGATGAATCAATTATTATCTTCACAAAAAATTTAATTTTTAAATAACTAGATTCATAACAAAAATATCATTAATAATAAAATACTTTTTTTTTTCATAGTTACATATTCTGCTCTAAAACAATGTCCTGCTAAATAGTGCTCCGGCAATGCCCCATATAAACGCCCCGTACTGCTAAATATCATAAATAATTTTTCACAAAACTTGACTCAATTAAAACATGTTTCAAAGTGCCGGAGAAAAGATAAAAAAGAGGAAATCACGAGTAGACTACAAAATGAAAGGGCAAAACCACGAGTATCATAAGCTCCATCAAAATGAAAGAGCGATCAGTTAAACTACTAAATGAAAGGGCAAAACCACGAGTATCATAATTAGCTCCATGCATTAAAATTTGGAATTTACTTTATAAAGTATGCATGAACTCCACTGACTGCTTTTTTTTTCTATGGAAACCATCCAGTTAAGCACAAAACTCGAACTGAATTAATTTTGCTGATGTTCAACTCCACTTCAAAGCCTTCCAGAAAAAAACCCCTCAAAAATGCTTCCCACTCATCGTCTAGCTAAATCCACGTTCTCAACTCAATGACATTAATTAGTTTATAAAAGCTAAATAATTTTGAAGGGGTTTCTTTTTCTTTTTCTTTTTCTTTTTAATTGTTTCTGGTGTGCTCAAATGAATAAACTAGGTTCATGAATTCTCGCCGTTTTTGGTCCTGCTACTATTTATTCATTTTCTGTTAGGTTAGAAACTTAGAATAGTCAACTGAATTTTGCACGCGCTATCCTGGCCTCTATTGGAAAATTGGAATTTGGAAATGATTTCGTGATTTGCAAGCCTTTGTTTAACCTAAGAAATACCATTCTCTCGATTAATCGTAATAATTTTATTTTACAAAATTCAATCATTGTAACAAAATGAACTATTGAAATTAATGGGACGACATGAAGTATTATATAATGTAATAATTTATTTGAAAAGAAAACAAATGGTCTGCAAATGCACGGGCGGAAGATTATTACCAGTAGCTGTACGTAAGAATTCCTTTGGCTCGTGTTTCTTTTTCTTTTGTTGCAAGTTATCGTCACCCCCCTCCAAATTAAAGTGGAAAAGGCACCAAATTAAACATTAAAATTTAAAGAATCAGGGTGTTGTTGCCTACAGTCGTTTAGCTAAGCTAGTGGTTTCTTTCTCGTCCCATGGATTTCGTCTCATTGATCATTTTTCATATCGATACACAATCAATTTTTCATTTGTGTACTCTGTAATTTTATCAATAACTAATTTATTGTACTGAGAGTAAATGTGATTAATTTAACTAGCTACAACTTAAATGCTAAAGTTAACTAAGTTTACTTTACAAATTGGAGGGAGGGATCAGATGGACAAACTACAAAGGGAGTTCCTCTTGTAAATTTACCTATTTTATGTTCTTAAACTTCTATACCTTCTATCACAAAATATAGTTTAAATAAAAAAATTTATGTGAACTATTTTTTCCGATTAAAAAAAGAGTATATACGAGCTATTTTCTTTCGAAGAATTAAAAACAAGTCCGAAATCAGCTGTCCAATTTGCAATGTTATTTAATGCACTTAATCAATTAAGCTCATATATCTGGCTCTCAGATTGTGAGGTAATACATCTTAATTTTGAGGTTTTTGTAATTATTAACGATTGGAAGCCGAAAAATTAATTTATTCATTGTCCGTGTGAATGTTTGATAAAGTCATTAGAAGGCAAAGAGAGGCTGATGCCAAGTTCCTCGATTTGATTGATGAACAGGCGCCAATGTGTGATGAGAGAAGTAAAGGTTTGATTTATTTTGAATCTTATGATGACTCAAAATTATTGCTCTTCGAAGAGGAAAAAACAATTTAATGCAGAAACAAAGAAACAAACCATTTCCACTAATGCTTTTTAAGTTTTAAATAAGAATTGAACGAGGGAATTTTTTCCAGAGTACACTAGGGATCGATTCTGATGGCCAAGAGGGAATTTCCCACATGCATATAAGTCTAGATGGTGATTTTTTTTTTAATTAGCTTTTAAAATAAGTAATGCTTTCAATAAGATTTGGAAAAAAGAGCAGCTTCTGGAAAAGTTGTGCATGTTAAGATATTAACCCAGGTTCTTATGTATTACACCCAGATGGTTAAATGTTTGGAGTTCTAGGTATCAGTGAGCTTGGATATATATATATATATATATATATATATATATATATATATATATCCGTGGAGATCAAGGTAACTTCACTGTTGCATGCAAATGTTTAAGTTCATCTTACAGTTTGGAGGCTGAGATAAAGCGTTGTTGGCTGGTTTGAAGAAGTGTGAATCTTTGCAATTACAAGCAATCCAAGTTCGATCATATAATATTACTACCTCCGTCTCAAAATTAGTATTCAATTTGAGATTTCATTTTTAGTACAATTTAAAATAAAAATAAAAATCCAAACTGAACAATAGATATAGGACAAAGAGAGTATAACATTAGTGGACTTGCTACATAAAAAAGCCGTATTTCCTTGGCAATATAGAAACTCTCTAAAGGAGATTGATGCAATCCTGCAAAAGTATCACTATATAGCAGTCACATGTGTGCAGAGAGGTCAACTCCGTTACAAATCTGCTTGCTAAATTAGTATCAACGGGAATAACCTCAAACTTTGAAGGATGGGTTCGATTGCCATAGCAAGTGCCAGGAATCAACAATCAACGCCTTATTTGTGAAACAAGTAGTTTAGGGTTTATATGTAACAGTTTCATGGGCTCTCGTAAGTCGTAATATATATGACAAGTTTTTACGTTTTTTTTTTTGTTTGTTTATGTTATGGATTGGCTGGAGATTTTTAGAAAATTTTTCTACTTCAATCCCTTTTCATTTGGATAAAATAAAATAAAACAATAAGATTTCAGAAATTGAATAACGAACTAGTGGATAGGATACGGTATCTTTTGGGAGTGGTGTTTTTTTTTTTTAATGATATAATGTTGAATATGAATGTTGATGACCAGGGAAAAATATATAACTTTTTGTTTTTTTTTTCCATTAAAAGATGTAAATGGTAATTCCGTCATGATAAAATTGTTTTGAATTTATAATCTATGAGAAGTAATGTAGTGTACTTAATAAACATTATTTTATCTTGATACTCTTTTTATTAATTTGATCAAGCCTCTTAGCCAAAATTTCCCTTATTAATAATGGTTAAGATTTCGGATGGAAAAAGAAAAATCATATTTGCTTACTTTTTACATTTTATTTTATTTATAATAAAAGAGAGTTTGATCGACGATGACACGTGTCACTATTAATCCTTGACTATTTCATTGAATAGTACGTACCGATTAAAAGTTCTCTAATTCTGTTACAAATATAAAACTGAGAAAATAGTGGGTACACATAAAACAAAACCATAGTGGAAAGGATCCTCAGGTACCAAAAATTAGTAAATAATTTCAAGTTAGAAGCATGGCAAGCAGTTAAAAGCAATGGAAAACTCAACGAAAAGCTCAACTGACCACTGCAATTTTTTGAATAACAGGAGGCATTTTACGGGCAAACGCCATTAACAATGGACTTCAGTCGAAAAAGGTTAACTAAAGAAGTCCTCTAATTCTTCCTCAATAGGCAATTCCTGTCACACTTTTCAGTCGACCTCTGAGTTAGACCTCCTCTGAGGCAATTGCATGCTAACTATGTCCTCCCTGGGCAAGCTAACAACCGGTGGATTTCCGGTTTCAGTAGACATTGGTCTAGTTTCATGTTCCGTCAGCACCAAAAGATGGTCTCCCTTCTTAGTCTTTCTCACGATCAAGTATATAACACCCGCCAAATAAATTAACATAGCGGCAAATCCTAGAATCCCACAAAACACTGTACCAAGAACTCCTAAATGTCCATGACGAAGTGATGTTACCAGCTTCTCTGCCAGGTAATAGATGTTGATTCCCATTATCAGAGAGCTAATTACCCAAGTTATTGCAGAGATCTGTTCACAAAGAACAAATGTCACCATATAGTAACACCGGTAAAAGAGAACTTATGTCTGGAAAGGAAATATGCTATTAGTCTCTTACCAGTCTGGAGTTAGCATATGGTCCCATCTTAGTTTTGCTACTAGTGAACTTGAGTAGTGGTATAAGTGCAAAAGGCAGTTCAAAAGATAAGATCATCTGCAATAAATCAACAATATCAAGAGTGTATGTAGTCAGAAACCGTGCAGGGAAACAGATTTAAAAAAAAAAAATACAAAGTTCATACTGATATTGAAGGCTAAGAAAAAAGGAGTGCTGACCGATGCAATAATGATCAGATTTCCAGCACCATTTGAACCACCAATGATTGATACTATAAGACTAGGGACTATGGCAAGGCATCGAGTTAAGAAGTTACGGATCCATGGTTTCATTCGCAAGTCAAGAAATCCCTACAGAGAAAGATACTAGTACCTTGAAAACGGGCTAATTTCATCAAAAAGAAATTAAACATTAAAAAAAAATAAAGAAAAGCCCTTGCCACCTGCATAACGTATTGCCCAGCATATGTTCCAGTAATTGTAGAACTTTGTCCCGATGCAAGCAAAGCAATCGCAAATATTTTGGAGCTCCAACTGCCTAAAGTATTCTACAGACAGGGAGGGGTATCTTATGTAAGCAGTTTGCAAAATTACTGTTGGTAAAATTTTGTTGTATCCAAGACTTACTTTAAGTAGAAATGATGCTTTGTTCAAATCCAAGTCTGCACAATTCTGTTGATCTTCTACACTCAAATCTGAAGCATTGCAAACTGCACCACTCACAGAAATGACTGAGACATTGATGAGGAAGGCCACAGACAGAGCAAATCCACTTTCTAATAGATAAAATCTACAAGCCTCCTGCAATGAGTGTAAGAGAGAAGGGAGTATTAACAATTGAAGGTGATAAACAAAGGTTGGTAGTTGTTCAGCTTCCAAAGGCATATAAAGCAAAATCCTGAAATCTTATACAGGATGCTTCTCAAAGAAGTGAATGTAAAAATGAAGCAATGGCATTTGTGAAACTACAAGGATTTGCAAGTGAGTTGGAAATGATGCAAAACAAGATTTGCAATTAATGTACAAAGGATGTGCAAATGCTAGTACCACGAATTGCTTGAGCAAGTGATAAACAACCTAAAAAATCAGTGCTTACATGCTTGTGCCGCATAGTTTAAAAGAGCTTACTTTGATACCGGCAACAGATCGTGGAATTTTCCTAGATAAGACCAGAGCAGAATGGAGGAAGAGATTGTGCCTGCATCAAAAGGAGAAACTAACAATCATGAAAGAATGTTTCAAAGCCACTCATTCTCATCTATAGCTTAGTTAACATTTCTAAACACTCACGGCATAACCATAGCACCAAGCAATGAAATGGCCAACTTAGTTGCACCACTTCCCTTGAGCTGTGGCACAAAGAGGCCACGGAGAACCTCTGAAGCTTTTGGCTTTGCATAACCAAGTTCCACAAAGTAGCATATTGCTATCGTAAATACCAGCACAGCAATGAAGATTTCAAGTTTCCTCACCTGTATTATAAGTGGCCTTTAATAGCATAATATATCAACCACTAACTAGCGAGACTAATTAAAGAAACATTTTCTTTTCTCTAGTTCAAATTTATTTGTCCCACTATGTCATAAGAGATTAACGTTTGTGAGAAGCTTTAGTACCCCATATTGCTGAAGTAAAAGAAGCACCAATGTACTGAGTCCCGTGATTAGAACACCACACCATAATGGAATATTGAAGAGCATGTTCAATGCAAATGCTGTTCCTAGCACTGGCATGAGATAGAAAGAAAGAGAAACTGTTAACAAATGTAATTAAAAACAACAAGCAAAAGTTAAATTGACTCAACAAACTCAATTCCAACCTTAATAAACCAGTATTGAACAATAAAGAATTCACAATATTGAAACGGTCCACAAAATGCTATCACTAACATCTCAAAAGAACTAGATAAGAAAATAAGTTTGTGCAGGGCAACAAAGTAGTGTTTCCATTAGCCTCACTTTTGATTGTATGCAAATGCTCAGTCATAATTCATTTCAAGAGTACATTTCAATCACCAGGCCCCAGAAAAATAAGAAAAGAAGACCAAAAGACTACCTCAAAAGATTGTTTCTCTTTCCATTTTGAGAATTCTCAATTTCTAAAGGCAATGAATGGAGATCCCGTTATATGATTATCTAAAACCTTAACAAAGGAAGAGGAATTATTACCTTCAGGAATGTCACAGGCAACAACTGCGATTTCAGCAAGAATCCATAAGATGAAATTGGTCACCTTTGGGTACTCCTTTCTACAGTGCTCTGCTAAATGCTTCCCTACAGAGTCATAAAGTAAACCAGGGGTTATGAGATAACAAGACAACTTGAATCATGGCAGCTATTGAAGACCTACGAGCTACATAATAATAATATACCGGTAACAACACCCAGGTTTGCTGCCAGGGATTGGATAACAAGAGCTGCAAGCGATGCCAGTAATATGATCCACAACAGCTGAAAACAAAAGATATGAACTAAAATGAAACTACGAATTTAGGGTTGGTGAAGTGCATCACATATGGTTGTGCAAGATATGGCTCAAATTGTAAAGACCTTAACTAAATACAATAACACGGACCTCGTACTTGAACTGAGCTCCTGATTGCAAATCAGTCTGAACTGTAAATAAGCCATTAATTGAGGGTTATCAACTTTGAAAAAACTTTTAATCTTCTAACAAAAAATGAAATTGGATAGCAAGTCTTACAGTTTCCTGGATCAATGTAGGCAATGGAAACAAGAAAGCCAGGACCCAAGTAAGAGAAAAAATTCTTCCAGCTTTTCTTCTGCACATTTCAATTAGCAACAGCCATCATCAGATCAAGTTATACATTCCATTTAAGTATCCGAGGCACAAAAAGTAATACTAACTTTGTCAAGTACCAACAGTTAAGTTAATGGGAGACATAATCGACAACCATTTCTTATCTGGTTGAAAAAATTCAACACTAGTAACTTCCAAAAAGGTAAAGGAGTAATAACACTAACTCTAACTCTAGAAAAGAGTATTCATAGCGAAAGACCCAACAAGTTGGCAATTAATCCCTCAAGTAAAATGGTGCAACAGAGATCAATAGAACAGTTAACTGTGCGTATTACACATTTCACAACACGCCATAAGAGAACATATAACTCTACTTCCTCACATACTTTCAAAATGCATTATCATTTCTGTTTTTTTTCCTTCCCTTCCCTTGTCAACCTGACATTCACAGACCATCTGGACCATGAGATGACAAACCAGATATCATCTGAAGGGGCCATATCGTAAAATGTTCTGCTGGAGAGGATGATTGCAGAGAAAACTAGAATGAGTAAGAAAGACAGAATACTGAAAAAAAAATTAGAGTTGAGGTAATTGATGTTCATTCAAGATTGTCAAAATCCATCAAACTTACAACAGCCTATGTGTCTTTTCTGGGCTATAATAAAATCAGTGGAACAAAAGCACAAATAGATATCATCCACAACCCAAAACAGACAAATCCCAATTTCTTTTTCGATGAAAGGCAGAATATATTCTCCCTGGAATGAATATTGTGAACTCAATCAGCCAACAAAAATTGGTTGGATATAATACTCCACAAAGTATAATAAACAATAAAAAGAACAAAAATTTGGGGAAAGGAAAATAGTACTAACATCTGATACGACAATTTGATCGTATTCAATATCATCGATTAACGGCTGACTGGGACTCCCCTGATTTCCAGTGACGTTAGTCATGAACTGAGGCGAACCGGAGTTTGCCCCCGCCATCTTCTTAGAGCTCTGTTTCATTGGTAGACAAAATTGAAAAAGAAACTATTAAAACACAGCTCAAAGTCTCACCCTTTTTAATCAAAGCACCAAACTTTTCAATATCAATAACAAATCAGACAACCAAGAATAAATGCATGCAGACAATCATGCAAGAAAAAAATGCAATCCCAGATCCGTACAATAAAAGGGTATATATTGGGGGAAAGATTAATAAAGGAATTTCAAGAATTGAATGAGATTGAAAGTAAACCTGCAAAAAAAATGGAATGGGTTTTTGTCAGAGATGAAGAATTTAGGACAAGTGAAAAGAATGGGACCAAAACAGAGGTATTTATATATCAGCAGGAAAACTCCTTAGTGATGTCACTGTTTTGAGTTCTGAGTTAACAGAGTACCAAAACGAAACGAAAAAAAGGGCAGAATCTGATTTGCTGCCACCCCACACGGAGGAGCTTTTGACCTTTTTCTCATTTCTTTTGTGGTCGTTTTAAGATTTTGGTTTTCTGCGCCTTCTTTTTAATTCTCGTGCCAATGGCCACCATTTGAGACAATGACAACCTCACTCTTTCCAAGTTGGTGTTACAACTTTGGGAAAATCCGTAATCCTCAGTCGACTAAACTAAATTACGCAAAACATTATTTCAATGTCACTCTTATTTCGTAATTTAATAAATAACTAGGTTCAATTTCGTCAATGAATTGAGACAGGATTGACATTGTATAACAACACTGCTTTCTAATTTTGGATTATGGAAATCTTATGAAAATACAATACACAAGTTAATGGTAAAAGGATTTACTATAATGTTCTTTCCATCAGTTATCATTGAATTCGTGTTCTTGACGGCTTTGTTGTATCCACTTAGTTACGTGTATACTTTTATAGTGGCATCCGTTTTGTCATTGCCAATTTTTTACGATTATCTCTTTATTATTGTCAAAATAATCTGCATCTGTCCATAAAATTCCTTCTTCTTTTTTTCTTTTTTAGTTTTTCTTCTACCTTTTAACTATATGTGTTCTTCCCCGTAAGATTTTACAAAAGTTATAATGGCCGATGGTAAGTCAGGGAATGGTTCCAAAAGGTTCGATTGCAATTGTTTATTCACACAAATTGGTGCAACTTTTATCTCTAACTGAATAGTTTATCGATCAAAACTATCTTTTATTTATCTATACAAATTCGTACAACTTTTATCTCATTAAAAGAATCAGTTATGGATTAGGACTAGTTTCTCCTTCCATAAATAATTGTTTACTTCACATTTTCATTGGTAGCACAAACGTACATAAATATCTCATATACTATCTCAATTACTTTCTCCGTCCATAAATAATTGTTCCCTCCAAATTTTCATTAATAGCACAATCGTACATAAATGTCTCACATATCCCTCCAAACAATGTTCTGTTCCCGCGATTTTGGTCGGAATGGAACTAGGCATGTCTTCATTAAATCTATTGTGAAGTTACAATTGCAGGACCTTTTTGTGGTTTATTAATCCGCATAAATAAATTCAGTAATTGAAAACCCAACCAAAATTCTGATTTGATGCATAATCCAAATTGCCAAACTCTCGAGCTTTAAAGCTATAAAGCCTATTACATAAGCTTTGCCTTTAGACAATATTCTTTTATGTACTGGAAGTGTCTGAACTATTATAACTAAGTAAAATCTACTTGAAAAGAGAAAAATATTAGTGTATACACACAAGTTAATATGTCTATATTAATAGTTACATTGTACCTAGTCTTCCTTTAATGTAGCCACAAGTATTTATGGTATATATTTGTACTTATTAACGGGTTTAATTAGACATTTTTTTAATAAAAGATAGAATTTTATTACGGTTGCTGGAAATCAGCCAACTCTGATTGATACAAACTGTCTAATAACGACTGACAGGAGAAAACACTCACTAAACTAGCCAATGAACCAGTAACTAAACTATTATAACTGAAAGTACAAAATAAACTTTTCACCACTCAATTGATATGCCGGAAGGAAAGACTTTCCAATGGCATAAATCTATTGTTCGACATAGAACGGAACAGATTAAAACTCTGAACTCGAGTATGTCACTAACCATCGGATTAAAACTCGAGTTGGTAAATCTAGATAACAGATTCACGGTGACTGTAATTTCTCAGGTCAAACTAGTTGGAATACAAAATAAACTTATCACCACCCAGTTGATACTGCCAGAAGTAAAGACCTTCCAATGGCATAAATCTATTGTTGGACATAGAACGGAACAGATTAAAAATCTGAACTCGAGTATGTCACTAATCATCGGATTAAAATTCGAGTTGGTAAATCTAAATAACAGATTCACCATGACTGCAATTTCTCGGGTAAAACTAGTTGTCATTAAAGACAAACAACAGACAAAAAAATCGAACAACGGACCCGATTCCGTTGGCGCACTAAATTCACTCAATAAAGAATCAAACCAGGATCGATACTGAGGATGGAAAATCCCACTTATTTGAAATAAAAAACAGTAAAAACAAAGTCTAAACCAGCAAACCAGTGCTCGGTTCGGTGCAACGAGGAACCGAACCAGCGATCCGGTCCGATGAACCAGCGGTACTGGACACCTTAGCATATGTTGGCGGCACTCGATGACGGAGGGGCAGCGAAGGGCAGTAACAGGGATCGAACTGGATCTACAGCGGAGGACGGTGGAGATGGTAGCGGTGGGCGATCTGTGTTTCAGATGGAGGGTGTCAGAGGCAACAGTGGTAGGCGATATGTGCTTCGGGCTGAGGGCGGCGGAGGGCAGCAATGGTGGAAAACGAATTGATTTTGAGTGGAGCGGCGAAAAGCAGCAGTGGAGGAACGAATTGGGCTTCGAACGGAGGGCGGCAGAGACCGCGAATGTGAGCGAACCGTGTTTCAATCTGGATGTCGATCTGCTTCTGGTGACTAATTATCAACAAGAAACAAACGATAGGAAGGAAACAAGGATTCTGGTGACTAATTAGACATTTTTAATTAAACTTCATTGTACCCTATTCTTTATGAATCAATGAAAGTAACAATCCCGTTCTAAACTTTGCCGTCTAGTTAGAAAAACAGTACTTATTCGGAAAACTTCACTTGTGTACACCATGTTGTATATTGCAGCTTAAGTCGCACGCCATACTGTTTGTTTCTGGGCAGAAATTCCAAAAGTTGGCTGGACCCCAAGTATGCATATGTATGTTGTCGCCAATTTATTATTCATCACCATAAACCTAATACATAAAAGCAAAGAAGCAAAAGAGAATTGTACTTAAAAAATCAGTGTGGATCATACAAAGTGGGACTGGGGGACTTTTGGTACGTTTGAAAGGCATTGATTTCAGAGTCTTTCTTTTAAAAGGGATCACTCCTTGTGTCAACTATCAACAAGATTAAAAAAAAACAAGGGGAAAAAAAAAGGATCCTTTCGTACGCCTTACGTGGTGGATGCTTTGGATCGGGTTTAATCATCCAATGTCTATCGTTCTTTTAAATAGTTGAATTTTATTTTATTTTTTTTTCCTACAGAAAGAAATCTGTCCTAGTCGAATTTCGATTAATTAGAACAGTTTTTTTTAAAATAATTAATATAGGGATGGCATATCGTTCATTCCTTCAGTGACGATATCATGATAATATATATAATAATATCATATATGGATGAGTAGTAACTAAAAAAATTTTGTTATTCGAACTCAATTAGTATGACTTTTGTCACTAAGTAGTAAGTACATAAATATTGTTCATGAGATAGAAGTATGATCGTATTGTTCTTCACATTGGATATTATCTTTGTGGATTGGGTCTCATATTCATAAATTCTAACAGTACAAAAAATCGAACTGTTGATCGATATTGTTTGAGCCTTTGAGGAAGATTAATATCGACTTACACAACTCCTTTTTTTTTTTTTTTGGTATTTTTGTTGGGTATATAGGTCTTTATTATAAGGCATTTTGATTTGTCATACATTTGTCCTAAATTTAACCTAGGATGTCTTTTTAATTGAAATAAAAACATTAAAAACATTTCCTAATATTTAGGAGAATACGATGAATGTGAAAATTTTTATTTTTAAGATTTTTTTTTCAATTAAAAACGCATCTCAGATGAAACCTAAGACAGAATCAAAATGCCTTATAATAAATAAGGAGCGGAGGGAGTATAATGAGAATTAGTGCTATTTGTTGGAGCATCTATTCAATTGTTAAGGGTCTAAATTTAATCGTACAAATGGTGAGATCAGATGGGTTCATATTTTAAGCTACGAAGAAGCATATCCCGTTAACAGCATATTCGAACATTTACTTATTCTTACCAAAAATAAAGTTTAAAGCAACTCCCTATATCTCTCAATTCTTATTCTGCTAATATATTGATTTGTAAGTTGATAGCTACCGGGGCTAGTTCAATGTTCGTGAGGTACATTTGACATTTGTTATGAAACTGTATTTTTATTCGATAATATACATACTGCATTGTTAGTACTATATCAACAATCTGTGCATAGTCTTACTTTATGTCCCAAACTCAAAGAGAGTATCATCTTTCTGAAATACTGTATTAATAATCATGTCCTAACTTGCTCATGTAAAGTCGTTTTCAGTAATTTAAATTGGATTGGGCATTAGTCAACTCCTCTTGTCTTGATCTTAACGTCAAATTTGTAACAATGGAAAAATAAATAAATTAATGACAAGGAGAAGCAAAGATAGTCATAATTTATTAGATTGATCTTATCTTGTCTTCTTTTTGGCCTTATATAACACGGTCAAATGGCTTTTTTTTTTTTCTATCTAAAAATAATTCTACTGTCAATAACAGCGATAAATCTCTTCACAAAATTATAATTTTAACTTTGACGCGAATAAACATAATCTTTTGATTGTTAATTTGTAGATATCTTGAGTGTTAATCATCAGCGAGAATCCAATGCCAACAAAAACTAAATGGTTTTTATGTAACATTTGTCCACGGAGGGGGATAAGGTCTAAGATCACACCAAACGATATAGTTTCTCTCATTTTGAAATGATTAATCAGTTTAAATTTTGTTTTTAGTATATTATATTATATTAAAAAAAATGAAAGTGCGAGCTAAATTATCTTCGTTTATATCGTTTATGAGTATTGAGCCTACCAAGCGGAGGCGATGATTTGTACGTTGGCTTTTTTTTTTTTTTTTTCAAAAAATCCATCTCAGCGACATTACAACAAGCAGATCAACTAAGAATTTAGGAACTAATCTTGTCAAACAGACAAGCACTAACTACCTGAGTAGATGTAATTGGTTCTCGTAAAAGTTAAACAAGTTATTATTTGGTTTCAGTCACTTATAAATACTTTTTTCCTATTTGTAACATTTTTAATGCGAGTAGGAAATATTTCGAGGAGATGCATAATAGACCATACAATAAAATAATTTGTAATAGCATAGGTGTTTCACATTGATTTTATCAAGTACCATTTTTTTTATTATTAAAAAACAAAAAAAACCAAAAACATATAGTCTAGACTGATTGTTTAAAGCCTAAAAAAGACTGATTGTTTGAGGTCCAACATGGGTC